CAAAGTTGTTGGCCTTGATACAGCATACTAAATCGCCGAAAATTTAAAAAATCGGACAATAACCACGCCCACATCCCATATAACGGTAATTTAGAGAAATACAAAATCTTCGATAAATCAGTAAATATTAAAGCTAATTTATTCAAAATTGATGCTTGCAACAATTCTTTACGTTTATGGTAAAATTTTGGAAAATGGGCGTGGCACCGCCCACTTATGATCACATATATGTATATCGGTAATCGTTCTACCAATTTGTACTGTACGGTATTTTTATTGTGCTTGCCAAATAAAAGCAAAACGTTGAAAATTATTGAAATCGGATTAAAATTACGGCCGCTTTTTATATAACGGTAAATTTCAGAAATGCTTGAAACTTCAATAATTTGAAATTTAAGGACGCTAATTTACTCAAAATTGATACACCCCGGCTTACCATCTAGCGGTAGCTTTCGGAAAGGTGAAAAAACATATATTTAATACTTGCGCCGGGTATTTAATGTTCGGCTCCGCCCGAACTTAGACTTTCTTACTTGTTTTTTTTTGTGTGTTAATTCTAAATATAAAATGCTTTAGTTTTTGAAACATATCAATTTTGTAGCTGATAATTTATTTCGGTGCAGTTAACGCATGAACAAAACTGACTTTTATCTTATCTTGACTTAAAATAAACGGTAATTTTGAGCTATATTTCTCTTAAAATGTTGCATGCAATAATGCTTGCTAATGACCTACTCACAATAGCCGCGTTTAAGCATGACCATGTTGAGTAGAAGTTTACAGCGGCACAATCAGTAGTACTTAGACGAAAACGTGCTTAAAATAAAAAGCTTGAGATGTAGTGCAATGCCAACACTGAAGCCGAACTGTGCTTACCGCATTCGCAAGTTGAGAAAGGTTAAGGCATCTACTAACTGCTTGTGGGAAAATCTGAACACATATATTACAAATCTTTTATAATGTGAGGATGGTCTAATGTTTTGAGGGTCATTCTTGACAGCGTCTGGTTGTTATCGACCAAACATATTTTTTTCTCTCGGGACTAGTCGTGTTGCATTTTGAAGACTTTAAAATATAAGAACCCAACGATTTTTTGGTCGATAACACCCTTTTCTCGGTCGCGGTTACATATCGCACACCTAGATCTAAATTGCGATCAACTCGAAAAAAAATTTTTGGCGATTTTTTTGCATAAATCAATTCATGGAACTTACATCCAATTAATGGACATATGTTTTTCTTCATGATTATATACATTAACTAAAAAACTACTGTTATACATGTTTTTGTATATTTGATATGAAAGGATTTTCCTGTAGATTTTTAAGTCATACATTAATGCTAAATGAAGATATCAATTTCAAACATTTTTGTAGGAGTCTTAATCAATAAATTCCTCGTTAAATAATCGAAATTGCTAAATTATTTCTTTATTTTCTAGGATCTTCAAGTACCTTATTGCCAATATGCACAACTCTATTGCATCACTAGAAAAGAATTGCTCAGAGCTCAAATATGAATTTGAGTCAACCAAAGAGAAGTACAACGTTTCATATGAAAATGTTAAGCCCTAAAGTTAAAATTTATGATCATGCATTTTACAGGAATAACACACAAATAGCGGACATTAATAACTCAAAACCTCCCTATAGTTATGTCGCACTCATCGCCATGGCTATTCAGGTAAGACTTGGATTGAAAAAGTTGCACATGGAAATTGAAGCCAACATTTAGGGCATTATTCTAGCGCCAAGCGCCTATAAATATTTATATATGCACTACACCTACGGCTAGTTATTCGTTAAAATATTATTTGGGAACCCAATGAAATATAGCTTTAAAGGGAAAATAGTCTATCTCGACTTAAGCTATTTTAACTGACAGATGCAGCTATATATTTATTTCATTTGTTTTATTTTTTAGAATTCACCCCTTAAACGTGCTACACTTAACGAAATTTACAGTTACATTACAACGCGTTTCCCATATTTCGAACAAAATAAAAAAGGTTGGCAAAATTCCATACGACACAATTTGAGTTTGAATGAATGCTTCATCAAGGTGCCACGTGAGGGTACGGGCGAAAGGAAAGGCAATTATTGGTCTCTGGATACGCAATATGAAAATATGTTCGAAAATGGCAACTATCGAAGGAGAAGAAGAATGAAGCGGCCTTACCGTTCGGTGGGTCATTTTCCGAAATTGCTGACGGATGCCTGCCCATCGAAATTGATTTTCAATCACACACCTTGTCAGACATACTACAGATACAACACAAAGTATTAGCATGTTTTTCAGCGCCAGATTGTGTACATAAATTTAATTAATATATATATATTTTTTTTTTTTCAGTACTCAATGGATACCCACACAGCCTTTGTCTACTTACTGCCCGCCAGCAGTTAGGAGTACCTTTCCGAATAACTCAGCGGTAAGTTAATTGAATGAAACAAATGAGTTGGAAATAAGATTCAAATTTGTTTCTTATCGGTAGACAAGTTTCTCACCGCCTTTATTGGGTGCGAATAACTACAACAGCATAATGAATCCGGGTGAGTAATATAATATGTACTGTTTTTTTTTTTAAGGCTAGCTGGTTGTACAACAAACACTATATAAATTCATATTTCAAACTTTGTACAAAAATTATAAAAATTCTGCAAAACGTTAACCTTTTTAATCAGAATTTTTAGAAAAAATTTTGGTATGCGGTTTTGTAGCCCATTAAATTGTAGTAAAATGCAGTGCAAGTTTCAAGCTGCCAAAAAAAATCCCGTTGATTTTAGTATTTTTTTCCCCCGGCAGTGTCTTATAAATAAAATAAAACTGTCGAACAAACTACTTTGCATAGAAAAAATGCGAAACACCATCAAACAAACAAAAAAAGTATCAAAAAGTAACGGTATTCTTTATCAAATTGAAACATGCACAACATTATACAACATTTTAATGGGAAAAGAAACTAGTACATACGATTTTTTTTTTATTCTTAATAAAAAGTTTAAAGTTTTGAAAGTTTTCGAATTTTTGTAAAAACTCAATATGCACGAATCAAACATTTTTCAAACTTTTTTCCAGTCTTTGAGAAATTCTTGATTCTTAAGTGGAGATCCAACATATTTCCCAAGGTTTCACTAAAAGTAGAATAAAGTTTGAATTCAAATTGATATTCAAACTTTTCTCTCGAGTGGAGAACTCAGATAATTTTCCATACAAAAAATGTGCCGTTTGCTTGGAGAATGGGTTGGTTCTCCAATTGAGGTACACTTAAAAATCAACATTGGACCTTGGAATTTTTATTTAGAAATTTTAAATGTGGATTTATGTATCTGTTGTTTTTTATGTATAACCTGTTAGACTTTTAACAAATAATAATAAATAAATAATAAACAATAAATAAACAAAAAAAAAAATAACAGTCAGAACTGGTCAAAATATCGCACTCCTATTATTTTGTAGAGAACTGTGCATATTTTGCATAATAATTTCCTTCAGAGATCTTCAAAAATGGTGATTTAAGTGAACTGGACCGATTTGAAAATACCTCCAAAAGTGGAGTTTTTTATGATAAAAAGAGTTTCTTAAAGAACTTTTTGAAAAAAGTCCCCTCAGATGACAAAACAGATTAAGCTTAAAAAATCTGCATAAAATTTTTTAAAAATATTTTCAACGGAATCGTAAGAACGAGATCTTTGATGTTGTTTTTTTTTTTTACTTTTTCAAAGATTGATTTACGAAAAGCTTGAATAACTGGGCCAAAACTATTCTGATTTAGACTTATGGGATCTCAGTAGAAAGGTATTTTCCCACTGTTATTTCTGTCCAAAAAAGACATTCGTGTCTCAATTTTTATATACATTTTTTTTTTTCAAATACGAACATATTTTAATTCAACTTTGATTGACGTTCGTTCATCATACCTTTCTCTTTCATCGTTTGAATGAGTTTATTAGCAAAGAAATATAAAGGGTGAGAAAATACCTTTCCAATGACACCTCACAAGCGTAAATCGGAAGAGTTCAGGTTCAGTTATTCATGTTTTTCTTATACCAATCTCTGAAAAAAGTTACAAAAAAAAGACAGCATCACAAATCTGATTATTACGATTCCGTTAAAATTTTTTTTAAATATTTTTATGCAAATTTTTTAAGCTTAAACCGTTTTGTCATTTGAGGGGATTTAAAAAAAAAATCTTTAAGAAACTATTTTTATTTATAAAAAACTCCATTTTTGGAGGTATTTTCAAATCGGTCCAGCTCACGTAAATCTTAATATTTTTCCGAAATATTTTGGTGGACGTATTAAAATATAATAGATTTTATAATTCCAATGGAAAAACAGTACCGATTTTTTTTTTTTGTATGGGAGTGATGCAGTTTAATGTACATATGTATGTATGCACATATATAATAGGGTGTTCGATTATTCGCCTTTTTTTCCAAACAAATGCTTATGCTTGAATGAATTCATGACCAAAAATTACAATAAAACTATTAACTGTAAAGAGAGCTTTTGTTTAGAAAAGAGCAAAGCAAAACAAGTTCGAAGTTAATTTAGATCAAAAGTAAAACAAATAAAAATCAGTGAAAAATTCACGTTTGGTCATATTTAAACTTGTTTTAATACTTTAGTATGAAATGAAACACCCGGTTTGTTCGCCTATAGAATAAAAAAACAACGTTGAAAACCGCTTTAGAAAAACCGAGTCAATTAACTTGTATGTATGTGTACATATATGTAAGGCTAACTATGTTCTACTAGTTTCTTTACTTGAGATAATCTTTTAAAGCTTAATCAGTAATAATGTTTAATTAATATGCCAAGGAATGCAAGTTAAATTTCAGATACTAGTATATCACTCGTTTTTTGGAAGAGTAAAACATAATTTAAAAATTTTTATTTCGTATTTATTTTTATTTACATCGGGATAACAGATTAGAAACTGTCTACCGTTTCTCTCGAAATTTTGAATTTTTTGATTATGATCAGGGCCGAAAAGTTTGAGCTATTGCTTGAAATTGCTTATTTTGCTTATTCAGGGTTTCCAAGCTTAATTTTAATGATCACGCTTATTTTGCTTATTTTAACGTATAAAGCTAAGTAACAGACCTTTTAAGTAAATGGTCAAGAGATAAATTGACATTATTTCGTGTGTGTGAATAGCAGTGTCCAAGGAGTTTGGAAATCTGATATTTTACAGCCTGCTGTCTCACTTTTTCCTTACGAAATAATAGAAGGCGCATATATTTCTGTTCAAAACAAGGATGGCTTGTACGCTTCACAAACAAACTTTAGCAAACCATAGTAGAAAGCGTAGAAAATTTCTGAAGAAGTTCGTACTGCTTAAGAAAATTTGGCTCAATACATTTTTCTTGACCATTTTTGGGTTTTTTTTTATTCATCGAACTAAAGAAATGTTTACAAATAATGACATAAAAATAGATCTAATTTTTATTAACCCGTAACTTCAACTGCATTTCTGATTGGATACAAAAATTTAAGACCAATGGTTCGTCCCTACGGGAAGGCATTTGGTGTTGTTAAGAGAATTACATAATTTATCTCAAATGGAGAATAACGGATATTTAAAAAATTTAAACGACCAACGCAGATCTCCATTATTTGCTTATCAGGCAACACTTTTATGTGCATAGGAATTGTTAAATCCTTTAAATAAACTGAATAAAAAACAAAACATTAAGCTTTACTTTTTTTTGTTTTTTTATTTTTTTTTGCAACCGTATTTACCAATGTTTTAGTGCTTATCTAAGCGCTTAAAATGGATTTTTTCGTGCCTAATTTCTTCGACCCTGATTATGATATGTATTCTTCCAGCAAACAAGTGGTATATTAACTATATTTAAGCAAAAGTAAAACAATTGTCGCTGTTGTATAATATTTAGTGCTGTTGTACATTTGCAGAAGGAATTTCTACCGACAGTGTGAAGCTGCCAGATTCATGTCCATATCCAATTTGGAATACGAGTATGAATAAATTTTATTACTTCTTGAAACTGAATTTGTATACATTTTTCTTGTATATTTTTTACAGTTCCTGATTTGATGATAAAAGAGGAGATTACAACAGCAGGCCCTTGCGATGCTACATTGATAGGTTGTCAGAAGCAGTATGCTTTACATTAATGAATATGATAAAATTGTGCATAAAAACATATCTACATAGGTACATATTATACATACAAATGTATATGTATGTATGTATTCTATAAAAAAAAAAAAATTAATGTAATTGTAAATTGTATTATATAAATATGTATACATACAACGCCTCACGAAAAAATTAAAGCAAGCGAAAATCAAGTAATTGAATAAACTATATACATATCGTCGTTTAAAGTACAAAATATCTAAACGTAATAAGCAGTGCAAGAAAATGTTACACCCTTTTGCTCAAATTAGAAATCAATATCTATATTACACTGTGTTATAAAATAAAAAAAAAAATTGCTCGAACTTTTTAAGTGGCGTAGTACAGGTCGAGTAATTCACGAAACTGCTTTCAAATACCCTCGAAGTCTTAACTTATTCTTAAAAAACCATTTACGAATGACTTCCGGCACTAAACAATTTTTAAATCGGTCATTTTTTAACCAATTTTAATTTTTTATAAGGCTTTAACAAGAACATTTGTGCTTTTTAAAGAAATAACCACTTTTGTGAGCGTATTGTAAATATGTGGAAAACTTTTGAAATAAATCGGAAATTTACACCAATTTTTATTATTTTTCCCAATTTCACAAAATTTTTTGCCAAAATTTCAAAAGTAGGGCTTGTTTGAGTTGCCATCACAGTGTTGCAGTGTTCCGCGAATTATTAAAGTAACATTTTCGGTGTTAAAATCAAAAAAAAAAAAAAAAAAAAAAAATTATGAACTTACGACATTTTTTATAAAGAGACAAATTAAAATTTTTCCTGATTTCAACTAAATGAACTATTGAAACCTCAAAGTGAATCCAATTCAACGCATTCACATTTTTTCTTAAATATCATAGACGAAATTTTGGAAAAATCTTTAAAAAATTCATAACTTTCAAAATTGTCTAGTGATTTGTATAAATGGTACCTAGAGTTTTACGCGGAATTGAACATTCTTTTCGAAGTAATGTCTGAAGGAGGCTATTTTCTTTGAAATTTTAGAAAAAAAAAATGTTGGCGTATTGGGAAAAATAATAAAAATGTATGTTAAGTTCAGACTTATTCCAAAAATTTTCCACACATATACAATGTGCTCACAAAACTTATTATTTCTTTAAATAGTACAAATATTCATCTTTCCAAAGCCATATAAAAATTTAAAATTGGGTAGAAAATACCAGCTAAAAATTGTTTTTTTTTTTGTAAAAATGTTTTTTTTTTTAAGAATACGTCGAGAATTTGAGGGTGTTACAAAAATTTTAAACGCAGAATCATAAATTACTCGACCACTAGGTCACTTACAAATTTCACGATCAATGTAACACCGTGTTATATATTTTTTATATAGTATAAAAATTTAGCTGTTTTCTTTGTAACTAATTGCCTCAAAACCAAATTTGGAAAGTATATTCCTTAGGACCGTGGCAAGGTCATAAGCTATATCTTAGTCCGCTAGGCTGCACAAGAGTCGAGATATTCTGTATATGATCCGATTTTGAAGAATTAGAACGAATAATGTGGGTGTGACCTTACGAAAAATGGATCCACTACTAGGTGCCGCTAGAGTCGAATTATTCCAAAAATTTGTATTTATGATACAATTTTGATGATATTAGAGAGGTATGCTGCTGGTGCGATAAGAAATACTTTTATGAAAAAAATGAATCCACTAGGTGGCGCTACAATTGAGTTATTCAGAGAAACCCCTTCGAAAGTATGGAACGCTACCAGACTTAGGTTGTAAAGCTGTAAAAAAATCGAATTGAAGGAGAAATTATAACTGGCAGGCGAAATGGTTTGGATACCTTGAATACCAATTATTTCCATTATATTTCTATTCCTTTTTAAGAGGTTTCAATTTCCAGTAAACATTTGCTTGGCAATGACAATTAACAAGTCGAAGGAGGTGATTTGAGGACCAGCTATTTGTCATACGGTCAACTATATGTCGCTGGCTCTCGCGTTAATAACCCTGATAATTTGTACCTAGGTGAATTCATATAAGGTGGTAGCGGCAGCAAAAACTACACTAACAAATTAGGTATACGCATGATGACAATCAAAACACAACAAATGTACAACAAACACATAATTTTCACAATTAAGTAACTGCGCCGGTAACACCACTTTATATGACTTCGCTTTGATTTGTACATACATATTTTCTCCAGACGGAGATATTATTTATGAAGCTGTTTTGTAAATATAAACTTCAATTTCCGATGTTTTATACGAGAACTTTTTATTTAAAATGGCAAAAATTATTACAAAACTTTCCAAGGTAAGAGTAAAATTCGTTCGTAATTCGTTTCTATAAAATGTACCCATAGCATAGCCGAGATAAAGTTGACTTTTAAGCTGCAGCTATTTTCGAGGGGCATCCCATTGAAAAATATGTCTAAACACTTCTAATAAATTTGGAGCCCATTTCATCTTAACTCTGACTGCGTGACATTTGTTTTTAAATTCATCAAAGCTGTCCTTTTAGCTTTAAAAATCTTCAAGTATGTATTCGAGCTATTGATATTCGATTAATCGAATAATCGAATATGATGCTATTCGAATACTAAAATTCCATTAGCTGTATTCGAATAATTGCACACCATCGATTACACAGGGCCACATTGATATTAGTGCGGCAAATGTTAAAGCTGTTTTTGATAGACTTCTGTGCTGGTTACGAATCCGTAAGTATAAAGTTTCCATAAGCTCGAGATTTTTAGAAAAACGAGGTCAAAGTGTCAAAAAATCGCGTTTTTTGCAATATTCGAGAAGCTCTAGAATGGTGATAGGTGAGAAGAAAGAAAAGGTGATAGAACTCTCCGCTTAGGCTCAAATTAAATCAAGAACTCTACTACTGTTCCTGAAAGCACCATCCCTACACCTTGACCTGATGGTCACTTATCGTCCTTTATTGAAAAATAAAAAAAAATACTGGAAAACTGCTATTGAAAAAAATGACTACAAGTGAACTTAAGGTCAAGGTGCAGAGATGGTATTTCTAGGGATTGAAATCGAAAGCTCAAGTCTTAGTTTAACCCTAAGTGGAAGATTCTAATATCTTCTTAACCGACTTCCAACAAGGAGGAGGTTATCAGTTCGTCGGATTTTTTTTCAGCCGATTTCGATATTTCTTTTTGCATCGGAAAGGCAGTGTCTCAGAGGTGGTCCCATACTAATCTGGTTTAGATCCGATCAGTGGATCATGAGATATGTATATATATATAGAGATTTTTTTTTATGACAGTTGAAGTCGGTTTTTTTTTGCTAAAAATTACTTGTGGTTAATTGCGTTAAGTACTCAAATTTCGCCAAAATCAGTTTTTGCTATTCAACAAGTGACTATAACTGACCATCAAAACAAGGTGCACAAATGGTGTTTTCAGGGATAGTAGCCAAGAGTTCTAGCTTTAATTTAAGCCTAAGTGGAAGGTCCTATCACCTAGAGCTTCTCAAATATTGCGCAAACGCAATTTTATGACACTTTGACCACGTTTTTCTCCTAATCTGGAGATGATAGAAAGTTTATACTTACGGATTCGCAATCGGTACAAAAATAGTCTATCAACAGCTTTAACATTTGCCGCACCAAAATTTGTTCCCCATTTTTGTTCGAATAATTTCAAGAGCCCTAGTATGTGTGTAAATGCAAAAGTATTAAGCTACGCTGACGAAGTGGCGGATATCTGCTAGTTAGTTTATAAAATTTTATTTCAACATAGTATGTATGTATAAATGTTTGTAAAAGAAATGAAAATACATAAATTATAAACGAGGCGCCAACCTCATACATATTTCCAAAATCAAAATGTACCATATGCACGGTGGCCGCCGAACAAGTAGGGACGCGGAATTTGGATTATTTTTCTTTTGCTTAATTAAGGTTTATTATTTTTTTTTATAAAAGTACTAGCAATTACCCGGCGACCTTCGCTGCGCCTTAAATGTATTTTTGTGTTGTAACTCTCCCCCTAAGCTCTTATGGCCTCATTTACAAAATATTTTTAAAGAACTTTATGAAGTTAGATTTAAAAAAAATCGATCTATGAAGCATTGTTTATTTATTTTTTTTTTGAGTTAATATATTTTCGAAGGTAATTAGAAAATATGTAAAGAACCGACTTTCTCTTGGAAATTTAATTTAGAATCTTATAACTGGAGTCTACTATCGCACCCTTTCCTCAAACGTGTATTGATTCAATATTCAAATAACGTATATTTATATAATTTGAAAAAATCTCCCTACTATACAAATATGTACAGCAATATTAACTAATATTTTCAAATGTTGTGAGAGGGACTAACAAAACAAAATTACTTTTAAGGCGCAGCGAAGCACGCCGGGTATTCGCTAGTTAGTTAATATTGCTGTACATATTTGTATAGTAGGGAGATTTTTTCAAATTATATAAATATACGTTATTTGAATATTGAATTATTACACGTTTGAGGAAAGGGTGCGATAGTAGACTCCAGTTATAAGATTATAAATTAAATTGTTGTCAATGTTTTTTAATAATTGTAAACATTCCCCAGCTGTTTCTGTTTATTTATTAGTAAAAGGCAGGACTGCCAATCTTGCGGCAAAACAATAATAAAAATCCAAAAAAACACGTAAAGCCAAACAGAATTAATTGCAAAACGTGCAATGATACACACATTAAATTTCTTATGTGCACCCTCCACACAGACCCCAATCACTTCTGAAAATTTCATTTTATGTGCACCCTCCACACAGACCCCAATCACCCCTGAAAATTTCATTGAAATCGGGCAA